TACAGATAAATTTGAAGGGTGTCGAGAAAATGAGCGTTGATATAAAGTGGCACTTCCGGTTAGCCGATTTTAAGGAAAAAGTTGCCGTCACAACTAAGGCATATACCTATCTTAAATACGTGATATCAGTTTCATAGGACTTTTCATCTTTGAGCTAGACTGCTAACATACAAACACACAGACACACAGACCATTTGTCGGGACTTGGTCATTTCGACTCAGGGTACCTCAAAACGTATAAATCCGTCGAAAACTCAGATTCAAAAATTTTCTCGATCGCAATACTTACACTTACTATATATTACATATATACGTAAGTGAAAGTAAAAATGATGTAGAACAATCGATAAATGTAGGGTATAAGGTAGCCAGTTTATAACTTCAAGAGAAGTATTGGGCCAACCAGTATTCAGTTCTGAACTGCCAGCAGTCGCTGCTGTGAGCAGTACTAACCGCCAAGTACCTTTAAACGGCCTTAAAAGAGACATAACGATCGTAATCCAGATTAACCAGAGCACCGGCTGGAGTGTTGACCATCCAACTCTCCCAGAGGGCTCATTATTTATCACCACAAACACAATGAAAAATAGTAAGCGAATAAAAAAACATTCGAGAGCGCTAGATGACTAACTGATGGAGGTATTATAAAATAAGATATAAATTGGAGAGCCGAGAGCGGACTGACTGACAGAAAGAGTAGCGCAGTCATCCCTCCGACCAGGAATGCGAGGTGACTAGGCACGTCGTCCTCACCATTTGTCATTCCGCTGCCAGGTGTCCCCGCCGTGGAGTAGACGGGAGGATCTGGAAGATCCGGGGAGGAAGGGTTAGGAAGCCACGGAAGGAGTGAAACAGAGGCTGTCTGGTTGCCATGTTTCGGGATCAACAGAACCAGAGTTCCTTATTTCCTAAGGATATTGTAAAAATCACTAGTGGGTCCAGAATTTAATTTTGGGGAGGGGGCTTCAGCCCGAAAGCTTTTTTTTTTCATAAAAATAACACTTATTACTTTGGAAAAAAGAAACTAACTACGTTTACACGAACAATAATACTTTGAGAGATATTTTTAAAATATTTTTTTCGATAAAACATGGTTATATTTTTTCATTTTGGGAAGCTTCAGCTCGAAAGTCCCCTTCCCCCGTAGATCCGCCTGTGGTAAAAATAACTATATTTTAAAAGAAATATATCGATATTTTAATCCAGTATATTCTTACATCGATGTATCAACACGTATGTCGATATTATTTGGTTGCATGTTTATGGTAATAAAATAGATTATATGGAACTAATAGGTGTAATTGAAAGATATTGTTAGTCGCTATCTACTCTCCACTTGGAAGGTGAAAAAGACTGGTCCTTCATGATATTACTCCTCAGCAATCGGCTAACAGTAGTGTTGCCCAAGACCATGACCAAGACTGGTAAAAAAAAAATATAGTCTATAGTACAGACCCATTTTTATTAAATAATTAATATACGCCTGGAACTTCGCAAATAGCTTCATCTCATCGTAACCTGCTACAATTGTATTTATGAAAATTCACGCGGAGTTTTTAATCTGGATATCGGCAAACTCTGTTTATTTAATTCGGTACTAAAAACTTGTAAACACTAGTGTTGCCCAAGATCGGTCTTGGTCTTGCACTTTGCAAAAAAAATTGATTTTTAAATAAAAATTAAAGCAAAATATTTACTAATACTCGACAATCTTAGTTACTATATGTTAATAATTGGTATAACTCCACTATGCATTTAACTCTTCTAATTTTTCATTCGATCTTAGTTAGGTTTCTTCTATCCAAAAAATTGCAGTAATATCTCTAATATAATAGGCAAATAGGTAACTGCAAGGTTGTTGTGAGACTCTTGGTCTAGTATTTGGGCAGCACTATGAATAATCCGTGTGAATAATCCAATGAATAATCCAAATAAAAAGCTTTTCAGACATAGTTTCTACAAATTTTTATTTGAAGAATAGTTTCTCTACTTTTAGATCAATCACGCATCTATATAATTTCTTTTTTATTACGTTAAAAACTAATCTTTCAGATTAGACTACAGCAAAATGGGATGTACTCCGTTCCAACCGTCCCTACAGTGGGAGATAAATGAGTGATTAACTAGTGTTGTCCAAAATTCGTAAAAAAAAAATCGATTTTTTAAAATAAAAATTAATGACAAAATAGTTACTAACTCTTGAAAATTTTAGTTACTATATGTAAAGAATTGGTATAACCAATATATTTTTGCATTATAACTCTTCTAATTTTAAATTCGACCTTAGTTAGGTTTCTTCTATCCAAAAAATTGCAGTAATATCTCTAATATAATAGGTAAATAGGTAACTGCAAGGCTGTTGCGAGACTCTTGCGCAAGACCAAGACCATGACCAAGACTGAGTTTGGAAGACCAAGACTCGTCTCGGTCTCGCATTTTGACAACACTAGCTAAGAGGTTAGAAATCATCAACCAAAAAGGAATTTTTTCCCAACAAGATAATGCGACGAGCATTATCACACTTCCCGTCGAACGAAAAAAAAATGTTAAAAGAACTTCATAGGATAACTAATTATTTAGATCCATGTCCCATTTACTTCAAGGGGAAAAAATTTGATAATTTTGTGAAGGTTTAAATTGCGCTCCAAGAGTTCTTTGACAGCCATCACAAAGAATGGTATTAGCGTGGGATCGAGTAATTGGCAATTAGATGACTGATGACGATAGATAATAATGGATTATACTTTGAATATTAATGGTATTTTATATTAAAGTACGTTCCATTTTTGCCAATGTGTTGGTTACTTTTTCATACCTTCTAAATGAACAAGAATATTTTTGTACAATAAACAATAAATTGCAAATATTTTTTATGTGGGTCAAAGCTTAAACTTTATTAGTGTTTCAGATCGTTTGGCCACTGTTCCGAAATAAGTATAGCTTCCTTGATTATTTCTATTGACTAAACTCGGGAAATTTATTTAATATCTCTAGTCAGTTACTGCCATTAAAAATAAACCATTGGGAAATATGGTTAAATATGGTAAATAGAAATTTCTCTTAATACAAAAGATGAATGACAATGGGAACTTCAATAAAATAGTGATTGAGTGCAATTTCAAAAAAACAAACACAAAGCTATATTTTAGCAAATTTTACAAAGCAGAGGTCATCAAAACACACAATTTTTCTAACTAACAATAATTAACATCTGTTTTTTTTTTTAATCTTTTAGAACAGCTGTTTTGCCTGCAATTAAAAATAATACATTTCACATTGTATCCAAATGTAAAAAAATCAACCGTTCATAGTTAACAAATTCCCGAATACCTAATGTAAATAATTTAGATGAATAGGTCATTCTAATAAAAAAAGGTATGAGATTAAAAATATTAAAAACATTTATGACCCACCTATACAATCCATGTGTTTAATGCCTACAATTTTTCACTAATACATAATTTTCTTACAATTTTTTCGTGAGCGAAATAGAAAAAAAGTGCCTTGTTTGAAATATTGGTATGTCTACAAAAGTATTTTGCCTGCCTAAACGAAAGTAGTAGGTGGAATCTCACGGAATTTATATAAGACCATTTGGCTATAGACCCAAACAATCCCTGGCAATAACGTAACATGGATTTGAACACAGATGGAAACAAATCTATATAAATAAAATAAAGGTTTTGTCTGTACACTGAATAGAATCATGCAGACACCAAATCCACTTTTAAAAATATTTTTGTGTGTCTGTATGTCCGCATTTCAACGAAATTTTGTCAAGGGTAAGCTCAGCAATCGCTTATTGTAGGCTTTTGAAATTTTGACATTATATTACGGTTTGCTTGACTTAAAACATAGGCTTTAAATGAAAACAAAATATCGAGTATAACCAAAGTTATGAATTATTGAGTAATTTGTCTAGAGATCTCGGTTAATGTTGATAATAAACATATTTACAGGTTAAAGAACGTCTATATAAATAAAATAAAGGTTTTGTCTGTACATTGAATTTAATCAACCCGTTTCATGATATCTTTCCGTTCCTTACATTACAGACACCAAATCCACTTTTAAACGATTTTTTTTTCTGTTTGTATGTCCGCATTGTCCAAAGAAATTTTATCAGGGGTAAGCCCAACAATGGCTAACGGTAGACTTTTAGCATTATAATTAGGTTCGTTAATTAGGACATTAAACATAGGCTTTAAATGAAAACAAAATATTAAGTAGAACCAAAGTTACGAATTCTTGAGTAATTTGGCCAGATGTCCCAGTTATGCTCTTCCATTCTCATCCCAACCTACTCTACCGCGAGCCAAATTTGAAAGTTGTACTCTTCAGCTGATTGAAAAATTCATCAAAACTCAACGGGAAAAATCCGAAATTTCCATCTGTAACGCGTTGTCGCTTAAAACACTCATTTTTCAAATTTGTCCGATCTTCCCTTTCAAATTGTCATTCTATTCACCTTATCTGGCCTAAAAAAATGTATTCATTTTTTGAATTAATTAAACGGATTAGCCGAAAATCGGAAGAAAAACTCCTTAAAATTAAAATTACTCCCCTTCCTCCATCCAGTATTATGAAATTAAATTTGGATCCTATTTGCCCCATAATACAATATCCATCTCAAAAAAATATTCTCAAATTTTAACTATACACCCGTCAAAGTTATATATAATTTCGTTGCTTGATGTCTAAAAATTGAAATGCCAGTGAAAATTAATTCTTTTTATCCCTGAGAACTTTTACTGTATTAATGTGTTAATATTGCAACATTCATTATATTTATGTTACTAATTAAAAATTGTTTTAATATAATTGAAAAAACCAATGTGTACCACTAACGACCCATGAAGGGTATTGGGTTCAGTACAATGTGAGGAAGTTCTGTTACTAGGCCAATGGTTGTACAGGGAGAAGATTGGGTCGAGATCACGTTCAACCTAATTAATATGCAGTTATGGTAATATAAAAAAATTGGCAAGATGGCTACTCACTTGGCGTAGTCCTGCTTACAGTAGACAGAGTGGTCGCGGACGAAACAGGAAGCTTCTCGATCCAGAGCGAGCTGACAGACGGAACACCTGAGGCAGCCAGTGTGCCACGGCCTTCCGGATACCTGCAGCAAGTACTTGTCCGTGATTGGTTCACAGCATCCGACGCAGATGCAGCTCTCCGTCTGTGAAGAAAGAAGAAAATAAAGTAAACGATTTGTTGAATATTTAAATGGTTGACCGTTGCATTTTAAAGGAAGGAAATGGTCCGGGTTGGCGGTCAAAAATAGTGGTAAAACTATTTTTATCAAAAGCCAACGTTTCGACCCGACTTTGCAGGTCTTCTTCAGGGGTAGAACGGACAAGATACAAAAATATAGAGAATTGTGGAAGTTATATAATATTTAGGTAAAAAAATTATAAACAATGTGAATAAACTTATTAAAATTATAAACATTAAGTACATGGCTTTTAATAAAAATAGTGTTATCATTATTTATTCTATTTATGACCGCCACCCTAGACCATCTCCTTCCTTTAAACAATTTGTTATTAGTCAATACTTCCTAAAAAAAAGAAAAATAAGAAGATAAAAATAATTATATATCTATATTTTTTTTAAAACTATTTATTCAAGATATTTACAACTGTATTACAATATAAATACATGAAGCAAATGTGTACAAAAGAATATAATCACTTTAAAACGCTTGTTGAGAAACCACCCACAGGTAGCACTCTAATAATATGTCTACATAAGGAGATCACGGGGCCATATTCTTTTCAGACGCCTCGGGGAGGGAGGGAGGAGGGGTAATTATATTTAAAAACTTATTTTTCAGCCGCATCATGTTATTTATATGTCATTCTGAACTCTGAAGAATTAAATCTATTTATTTAGCAGTTGTTATTCCAACTTGATTAATTATCTTATTTATTTTATTATTATAAGAATTTTCATTTTACTATAATTTGTTTCTGTATTTTCATATATTTTTATGTTCCCTCCTGCTTCCCTCAATACACAGGCGTACCACAAGGTAGAGTTTTAAGCCCATTCTTCTATTCTTTATACAGCTCTGATATCTCTGAAGATCCTTACTAAACCGACATCTTCACCTCTGCTGACAACACGTCTATACTATCTTCCCATAAAATCACATTTTTCCCTTATTTATTTTTCTTCTAAAAATGATGTTATAAACGAAAAATTAATTTGAACACTTATAAATCAAGTCAAGTTTCTCAATAAGGAAAGCTTCTTGTCCACCTAAAAGCAACAACATCAACTTAGTGTCAACAAATAGTGTACCTCGGACTCTACTTAGACTAAAGACTTACTTGGACAGTCGAAATTAAGAAGATAAGAACTTACTAAACCATATAAACAACTCTCACAACTTCTGGCCGAACAGATCCTTATCTGACCGAATTGGACATACGGACCAAAGTTTGGATTCAGCAAACAAACACACGTAAACGAAATACAGAATGAAAAATTGTTAACGCACAAAGGTATATTTCAATTAACGATATGTATAACTAGGTGGTCCGTGGGAATAATTCGCAGATAATTTTGTTTAGTGAAGAAATAGCAAAAAAAAATATGGAAATAGATAGTTCCTATTTATTAGGTAAGGAATGAATTAATATTTTTTCCTTGGTCGATTACAATACTCCATTAGAATTAATAGACAAAAAGTATTTGTACAAATTGTTTTGCTAAGACCTATTTTTAAACGCTAACTGGAAAGATAATAAAATTAATAAAGACAAAGTAATGCCCCGATCATGGGATTTTCTAAATCATTAAAAAAAATAGTATGTAAGAACAACGAAATGTCTTTATGAAACAATAAAGTTAATATATCAGCCAGGAAAAAAAGTGTAGTACACCATTCTATTCCTAAATGCAATATCTTTAAACAGGAAGACATTATTAGGTATACCAAAATAATGGACTGTATCTTTGTTAATAATTGTTCTATTTTTCGCATTTGAAGGAGAAGAATATCTTCAAAATGAGTGGTCAATCATTGGATTTGATGAAGAATTGACGAAGTTATGGCGTACCGATCAAAAAAACAACTTTAAGAAATAATGTATAGGATAGCCAAAACATTTTATCAGTAAAATAAAAATCTTTGCACTTTTTACAAAAATTAGTTCTTCTTTATGTTTCTTGCATTTTTTTTTAATATATCAATGTTCTCAACTGTGATGGTTTTAATATGTTTCTTTTATATTTTCAAAATATATAAATGTTCACCTTGGTGTAAATACTCGCTTATGTTCTAGGGAAATATTTTACTTAAATTATAATAATTTAAAAAAAATAAAAAAACAAATATAATACAATTTTTTTTTTTAAAAACAAAAAATTTCCTAGGTGACGACACTTGTGCTCATCGCAGCCGAGGTTTGATTGCAAATTTCGAAAGTATATGTTATTCTGAGGAAAAATAACCTTGTCTACCGTTCCAAATGGTGGCTGATTTAAAGAATATTAGGCTAGTAATTTGAAGATGGAAACGAAAATATAATATGAAATATGTGAGAAAAGTTTTTGTTTTTGTAAGTTGTATATATAGATTTAGAAATGTAAAAAACAAAATTGCTAACGCGGGTCACCAAGGGAAAACTTTTTATAGCCAAGAAAGTCAGTTTTTTTTCGATATTTTTTTTCTTTTTACCTAAAACTCCTAAACGATGCATCAAAACGAAAAATGTATTCTTTAATAAATGAGCATTTAATTGTGCCTCGAACGAGTACATAAGCATTACAATCTGTTTACGTGGTAAGGTATAAAACCACGTTTCGATGTTCAAATCACTGGCCTAATATTCTTTAAATCAGCCGCCATTTTAGAAAGCAGCGGCTCTGGAACGGTAGACAATGTTCTTTTTACTCATAATAACATACGCTTTCGTAATTTACAATCAAACCTTCGCCATCAATGAGGCCGACTTTTGGGCCCTGGCTCCATGGCCTAGTAAGCTCACATTGATTATTGCCAAAAACCGACAGTAAACGCAATCTGCGAAGATTGCGAGCCAAACTGAATACACTGTTTACACGTGCTCGCCATGTGTAAACGCGCTTTTAGATTCAAATGAAAACAAAAAGATATGATTACTAATCTTGAATAAGAGGACAGAGCTATAAAGTGTAGGCCATGAAGGACCTGGCAGTCAGAGAAGACATCCGTCAAAAGAAGGGCCATTAAAAAGTGACTCTGTAAGCGGGATCAGACTCCCCGCGGGGAGGGAACTCATTTAGTAGCTCTATTAGCATCCAGATGGCTCCCTATGTCTCTGTCCACTTGCTAATGTTCTATATCTCACTGTTTTTATACCTCGCTGCCCCCCCCCCCTCTCTCCTCACTCAGTCCCTGTTTAGGTTGTATCTGTTGTTTTTAGTTATTTTCAATGTTGGTGTTTCTTTTTGAGAGACACAGGTTCTAGTTTTAAATTGAGGCCGTTAATTCCGAAAATTACTTTCTACTTCGTTTTTTTTTTTTTTTTTTGTATTCATATCATTAATAAAAACTCGATTAAATCGAAAGCGTTTACAAAAATAATGGTTAAAACATTTTTTTTTTCTCAAATATTCCTTTTGGCTGCATAAAATTGTTTTTTTTATAAGTTATTACTGTAAATTATATATAAACAAATAAAAATGTCTTGATCCAGAGATTTATTTTAAGTTTTTTGTTTATCCACACAGCATTTTATTAACAACATATGTATGTCTATTTTTAGTAACTAAACATTAACAGTAATTTATTTCAATAAGCGTATTTCTACAAAAAAATGTTGTTTAAATTTATAATCAGTACTGTGGGTTAGGTTATATTCCATTGTTTCATTTTAAAAAAATAATAAAGAATAACATATTTTCTAAGCCTCAGCATTTTCAGAATTGATAATAAATATATCATTATTTATTTATAACCCAATAAAAATACATAGAATTTATGGATTTAGTTAGTTACCTTTTTCTTAAACCTTAATCATTTAATTCATTAATTCTAAGCAATATTAAGTATTTAGTGTTTCATCAAAAGTTAATTTATTTTCCCATTTTAATTACATTTATTAAAACTGGATATCTGAATTTGTTATTATGTTTCTTAATAATTATTGTCTTTGATAATTCGAAAGCAAATAGTTCTTGTTATCATTATAATCAGTCGGAAATCAAAAATAAATTTATTTCGATATTCGGGACACAATATAACCTAAACCCAATATTTAAATCATTTCAAACTATCATCAATATTTATTGAGATGAAGAAATGATGGCGATGGACGAAAATTTAGCTAGACTGTAGATAATTAGTTGCCTGGAAAAGTTATTAGTCGGTTACCTGTGTATTTTTATTTTATTTTATAAACTGGATTATTTTCGGAATTCTATGGCTATATCTAGCCCCCACGTTATCCGGACGTAATCTCTCTGTATTAGCAATACAAAATTAATTCAAGATATTCAAACGAAGAATAAAACAATCTGGTGTGTCTACTCACACGTCTCAAAAGTTTTTATATCTTTACATGTGGCCATAAAGAAACAAAAAAAAATTGAATTAAATTTATTTTCCTGAAAATTGATAAAAGAAAAGATTTGAGTTCGATTTATTTGATAAACTAAATCAATGTAAACCGGCTTAAGGTAGATCAGTGTAAAATTTTCAATAACCTTTATTATTGCTGTACAAAAACTTTTAGCCATAGCCTAATTTTGTTAAACAATAATTTCAGTTAAAATTAGAGGAAATAGTGAAGCCTGTGTGATGCGAGCAACAGATTTTCTTCTTTCGTCATCTTTTTTCTCTCATTATATCTCCTTTCTGACACCAGGATATGAACCCGTAATCTTACATTGGAAATTGAATAACTATAATTTCGTTAATAGTTGTCCGAAATGAACGATTTTTATATAGTTTTGTAGGGAATATACTGCATTTTTCATAATACACTATAATATAAATTTTACCATAGAATATATACTTAGCTAGTTAGGCTCCAAAACATTTTTCTTTTGTTTATAACTTTTTTCCTGAATTTTTTTCGGAAATTTTGTTCAAGTACGAAAATTAAAAGTACAATTATTAGAACATTATAGGAGAGTTTTATCAAAATCGTTAGAGCCGTTTTCGCGCTACACTCTACAGTAAAACATGGTTTTCATTTATTTACTTGAAATGTTCCAAACGGTAAAGTTATAGTTCCAGAATAACAGAAAAAAAAATTGAAAATAACGATTCCAATAATACAGAAATTAATTGAAAATGAAATTTTAAAATTCGTTTCAAGCCATACTTTGAAGACCTAAGAACAAATTCATTTATTCAATATGAGTTAGAAATAAAATAAGATTTAAGATGGCTACAAAAGAAGACAGGTTTGTAAACAGAGGATCGTATTCTCTAAGGGCATGTTGCTAGCAAACACAAGTTCCCTGGGGATTCGGGCGTACCCCAAGGGCATACAGTTAGCACCTACTCACTTTACTGTACAACTTCACCCTTCGCCTTCAATTGGTCAGTTAGGACACGTTCACACCAGCAAACGATCTATTCATAGGATAGTTGGATTATAGATTGCGCTTCTGGGCTGAAATCAATATGTATAATAAAAGATAAACTATAAGTTAGATCAGCTGACTCGTGAGAATACCCTACACAAATCTAATATTTATATCTGATTTTAATACATTAAGGACTCAGCATAACTTTTAAGGTTTAATACATGTATTAAGTAAGCTATAAGTTTATAAATATGAATTACACTCTGTAATGATTTAACCATTGCCTTTCCTTAAATTAATAAATAAAATATTAGCTTTTTCCAACACCGAATAATCATAAATTTACAAAAACTCCTAAACATTGCTTTAATTATCTGATAATGGCAGAAGATAAAAGGCTCAAATTCTCAACAATGAATAGTTAGATCTACAAGGATATGTATTACTTTATCATTAAAAAAAAAATCAAAAATTTTTTTTAAAATGATAAATTTCAATAATAAAAATCTAAAACTAAAAGCTAACGTAATTGAAGCACATTGAAAAAAAATTCCAAAAAGCGTTTAATGGAAGATACATTTATAGAAATAAAAATAATAATTTAATTAATTTAAAGAAAATTAAGTTTTTAAAAATTAAAGGAAATAGTAAATAATTGATACATTATATACTGAACCTCGAAAAACTAGGCCAATTCCCAAAATCTTAAATTCCCAAGTTGCAACAGAATCTTTGCGGTATTTTTTTTTTTTTTTTTGTATTCTTTATTCTTTATTAAGATGCATTACGATCTGTCATATTTAAGGACAATAGGAAAATATTTAAGGACTTCTTTAGGAACGTTTTTCACTTTTTTGTGGACAGTGAATTAGATTGATCCATCAGATTTCCGAAGTGTTAACGCTCAGGCAAAGTCGGCTAGAGTCGACTAATTGAAATGCTTTTATAATATATGGATTAAAATATCTCAGAAACTAAAAATCGGGCCTAGATACTGTAAGCGAGGAAATTGTTCAGCATTTCATCCTCTCTGTAATAAGATCAAAATTGTATCGAACGCGACGCAGTGTTCGAAAGGCGAAAAGGAAATATTGTAATAGTTTCGATGTACTTGTCTATAATAGTGTCGAAAAACTAATGATAGCGAGGTTTGTTGAATATATGGATTTAAATATTTCAGATACTAAAAATCGGTCGGACCTGTATATTGTAAGAGAGTGAAATATTATGTATTTTGTCTTCTTTGTAATGAGCTATTATTTATAATTTATATTTGATATTATTAATCTCGCTCTGTTAATGTTTTCATTTGTATCGTGTGGTCTAAAGCACACATCTTAGTTTTTTTTTTTATTTAAGTCCGAATATAAAATTAGGAATCAAAATTACGATTCACCTTTTTCTTATTCAAAAACGAGCCTTGAAGTTCATTTATTTTCAAAACGACTATATTCAATTTTCAGTATTTTTTAATCAATACTGGAATAGTCATGTAGAAACATGTTCTACAAATAAATAATTTCTGAATAAAAATTTTTATTTAAATATTGGTTTTGATACTACAATAGAAGTATATTAGAATAGTTAATATATTTTTTTCGAATTTTATGAAAAATTGTTAATAATGATTAAGGTTCACTTTGGAATTAAACGATCTATTTGTAAGACCGTTCTTCAGTTTCTAATATTTTTTACTTGAAAATTAATAGAATAAGTTGATGATATGTATATATCATCAGTGTGTATTTAGTGATAATAGCCAAACATAGAAACAGTAAAATATAAAATACTTCCCCACATAAGTAATAGCATATTAATTAGGTTTTATTTGTTTGGAACGTGTAACTAAGAAAATAATCCTATATATTATTTCTAAAAGGTGTTTTTTTTTTTGTCAGCATGCCATAACTTCATCAATTCTTCATCAAATGCAATGAAAGACGAAAAAAGGAAAAATAATGTTGAAAACCAAATAATAACAAGTATAATTGCATATTATAAGCGAGGGAAATTTTAAGCAGTTCATTCTCTTTGTAATAGTTTATGCACAATAATAATCCTAAATATTATTCCTATAAGGTTTTTTTTTTGTCGGTAGGCCATAACTTCGTCAATTCTTCATAAAATCCAATGATTGACCACTCATTTTGAAGACATTCTTCGCCTTCACATATGAAAAATAGTCCCATCCCCGAATTTCTGAAAAAAAAAGTTATGGAGGAAAAGAAACTTTATTTGCGAATAACTCAAAAAGTATTCATTTTTTTTCTGGATTGTGCCCATGATAATTAGAAAGATTACTAAATTACCTACAAAAAAAAAACGTAAATATCGAACAATTATTAACAAAGATACAATCCATTAGTTTTGCTATACTTAATAATGTCTTCCTGTCTAAAGATATTGCATTTAAGAGTAGAATAGTCTACTACATTTTTTTCCAGGTTTTTATATTAACTTTATTATTTATTAAAGACATTTGGTTGTTCTTAAATTTTATTTTGTTTAATAATTTGGAATTTCCTATGATCGGGGCATTATTTTGTCTTTATTACTTTTATTATCTTTCCAGTCAGCGTTTAAAGATAGCTCCTAGCAAAGCAATTTGTATAAATATTTTGGTCTATTATGTTTAATAGAATATTATAATCAACCAAGGAAAAAATATTAACTCCTTCCTTACATAATACATAGGAACTACTTTTTCCATTTTGTTTTGCTATTTCTTCACTAAACAAAATATTCTCCCAATTTTTCGCACGAGCCAACTAGTGTACTTTAATTATGAAGGTGGATTTTAAGTTTCGCAATTATCCCGCGCGTTCGCCTTATTTATTTCTTGTTAAAATAATGAAATATATGAATGAAAACAACGCAGCGTCAATTGATATTCTTATCAATCTAATTATAAACACTTGATGTATAATATATGATAATGAATGAAATATTAAGATAACTCAGAAAGGATATAGAAATTCCTAAACGCCAGAGAAGAGATTCATGGTCGATCTCAGAAGGACATGAACTAAACACCAAGATCGAGCTGCGTTATCAGTTGAAATCTCAGTGACAGTAACTACTAAAGAAGAGGAAAACGTTAAATATAACGTTAAACGTTAGGCGTCTGCGGCAATAACGTAACGCTACAGCGAGTAATAACGCCGCGGGGTGCCCGCCCGTTGAAGTCTTCCTTCTGACAGGACTCGTTGAAGAAGCGCCTCCATTTCTAATAAACTAACCGACCTGTAAACAGACCCTCCGAGGGCCACGTTTGGGAACTGCTTCATTGTTTACTCCAGAGGAATTTGATATTTTCGAAATCAGACAGGTTCAGCGCTGAATCCATCGATGTCACAAGGAAGTAACCGTTCCTAAACTCATCGATGGAATTCAGCGCGTTCATCTGCAAAAGCATTGATTACTAATACGGATTTTGCGGTCGATGGATTCACTGAATGTAAGCTCATTATAACCTCAGTGGACTCTTTTATACAGTGCTTCATCCCATGACATAGGCTGTTATCGAGTATGTTAGTTTAATCTGGTAAGAGTGATAGAATGTCCTTGTTTTTATAGTGTGTACGTATGTGTTTGTTAACTGTCAGTATTTGTAGGTCTTTATGTAAAGTAATATGAGCGAAGTATCATGAAGCACGTTTTGACTGTTCCGTATGTATACCTTTGAAGTGCAGGCCCAAATGGTTTTAAGTATTTTTTCATAATTGGTAATTGGTTGACTGTCGTGGATAATGAAGAGAAGAATAGTTGGGGTGCTCAGTCAAAAAAGGAAGGCAAAAAATAAATTATAATATTTATTTTTTACATATGCCGACGTTTCGACCTGAAGTTCAGGCCTTCATCAGGGCTAAGAAAATAACCAGATAACAAGGTATGAGAAACATAAGTAATGATGGTAAAAAAGATAATAAAAAATGAGAAAATAAAATAAATAAAAAATTATTAGAAAAATAAAATAGATAGATATAAAGTAAAATGAAATTGTTAGAATAATGACTAAGAACTAAGAGATAAATAATAAAAACTGTTACATAGTGTGGAATGATGAAGTAGGCATAATCAAAAAGGGGTGACAAAAGTGTTACATTGGGAATCTTAGAATAAAATGTAAAAAAACATAAAAAAGAAATATAAAGTTATATAAGAAATGAAAATAAAATAAATAGTAAAATTAAAAACATTGAGAATGGAGTAGTTAGATAGAAAATTGAGATGGTTTTAAGTATTGGGTTGGCAAATAAGTCCTTTCGATTTTTCTGTTTATTTTTATGTCACTATGATACACCTCTTATCTGATTAATTAATCCCTATGGTGGATTGTTTATCCTGTTTGTAATATGACAACAACTATATCTGTTAACTCTTGTTGAAACTAGCTTAGTATTGTATTTGGTATTGTACTGTGAATATGAAGGGAGTAGGGACCTCATGTCATCCTTCTGTCAAATGCCAGTCCAAAATATTGCACTTTTTCTGTTTCAGGAATTTGGGCATTGTCGATGTAAATTGAAGAGAAGTTTTATGTCTAAGAGTTAAAGTAATTTGTTGGGATTAGTCTAGGTTGAGTCGAATTTTCCGATGTTTGCGCCAAGCATTTTGTTTTTTTTAGATGATGTAAAGTTTACGTCTCTGTTTAAAATTAAAAACAAAACTAAGGTGTGTGCTTTAGACCACACGATAGAAAACAGCAACATGGCCAGATAAATAATATAAATTATAAATAATAGCTAACTATAAAGAGAGTCAAATGATGAACATTTCCCTCGCTTACGGTATGACAAAACAATATATCTACCTATTGTCTATTTTATTTATTCTTTCTGGCATTTGATCCATCTCCATTGTTAAAATTAGTCAAAGTGGAGTGCCAATTTTATGTAATTTACTAATACATGTATTCTAGGTGTATTGTAGTTAGGATTAATTTGTTCAATTTCGTGTAATAACATATTTTTAAAGTTAATAACAAAGTTCTATTGCATAAAATATAGACTTCAAAGCAAGGTCAATCTAAAAATGTCCTTAATGATTTATAATTCATTTATTTAAATTAGTGATATTTACTAGTTTATAATGTATCCAACAGCTGTATAATATTTTTGCGGAAATCTGCAGTTGGAAGGTTATGTCATGTTATATTATTATATATTTTGAATTATGTCTAAAAATTTCCGCTGTCATTATCATTTATATTATTTCTCTCCTTATTTTTTATATATTTTTAATAATGTTAAAATAAAATTTCAATTATGTAATATTAGCATTTATACTATATATCATCATTTGGTTTTAGACACTTTTTCTCTCTCGTACTTAACACGATGTTGGGTTAAGTTGGAATTTTGAATAATAGCTCATTACAAAGAAGACAAAATACTGAACATTTTCCTCTCTTACGGTATACAGGCCCATATATTAATCCATATATTCAACTAACCTCGTTATCATTTGGTTTTCGACACTATTTTTTTCTTTTTCGCCTCCCTAACACTGCGTCGCGTTAAGATACAATTTTGAATTATAGCTCACTAGTTGGCCAGGGTGAATAATTCCCAGATAATTTCGTTTAGTGAAGAAATAGCAAAACAATATGGAAATAAGTAGATCCTATGTATTATGTAAGGAAGGAATTCACATTTTTTCCTTGGTCGATTACAATATTCCATTTAACATAATAGACCACAATATTTGTACAAATTGTTTTGCTAGAACCTATTTTTAAAAGCTGATTGCAAAGATAATAAAGACAAAATAAAGCCCTCATCATAGGAATTTCTAAATTAATAAAAATATAAAATTTAATAACAAACAAATGCCATTAAGAAATGATAAAGTTTACTTATATGCCAGGAAAAAAATTGTGATAGAATGGTAAATGCAATATCATAAATGCAATAAGTACACCAAAACTAATAAACTGTATGTTTGTTAATAGAGTCCGATTTTTTTTCGTTTTGAAGGTAATTTAGTAATCTTTCTAATTAGCATGGGTATAATCAAGAAAAATGCATACTTTTTGAGTTATGCGGAAATAAATTTTCTTTTCCTCCATAACTTCTTTTCTAGAAATTTCAGGTGGATAAGACTATTTTTCGCATGTGATGGAGAAGAATATCTTCAAAATGAGTGGTGAATCATTGGATTTGATGAAGAATTGACGAAGTTATGGCGTACCGACAAAACAACACCTTTTAGAAATAATATATAGCTTATTACAGAGAGGATGAAATGCTGAACAATTTCCTCGCATACAGCATACAGTTCCGATTTTTAGTTTCTGAGATATTTTAAATTATATGCAAAAACATTTCTGTTAGTCGATTATGACCGACTTTAACCGAGCGTTAAAATCTTACGGCTCAATTTAATTCATTCTCTCTCAAAAAAAATTCAAAACGCGCCTAAAGATGTTTTCACTTAAAAAAAAAAAAAAGAAAAAGTAACCCGAACAAATTTTTGAACATGAAATACGAAGTAATCCGAAGACTAGATGGAGCAGAGAGGTTTACAAAGACTGAAGAAAGGAGTTAATAATATTCCTAGGACTAGCGAGTGCCGTACTCAACAGTCAGACCACTTTTGTCACTCTTTCCTCATTGTTCTTCCTTCTCTATTGTTTTATCCTCTATGCCTCCAGTTCTTCGGCGACCTGCTCTCTTCTCTATTTATCTTATATTTCCTTTTCTCTTCCAGGGCAGCGCCGGTGACAGATATTGTGTCCAGGTTGGCTTCTGTTCTTGGTCTCAATAGGAACAGGTCTTCCTGTATCGATAGTGTCCACTTCACAGTCTACAAAAAAGTTTTTGTTTTGATTGATATAATACATAGAATTTTGAATGAATATTTTACTCTTGTTTTATCATTTATATAGGACTAGCAGATGTGCCCGTCGTTGACAGGTGTATGGTTAAAATTTGAGAACTTTTTTTTGAGATGGATTTTGTATTATGTGGGGAAGAGGGTCTAAATTCAATTTCATAAAATTGGGTCGGGAAGGAGGAGAGGGATTGTTTTGAAATTGTTTACGGCGGTGCTTATGGAAGTCAAGATATCGCAGTAGTCCTAACAAAAACTTTGTCATTCGGCTATTTGTTAAGCCACCACACAACTAAACCGACCACCACCGATCCATTAAAATTTGTCAAGTGTTTAATTTTCATTTATGATGAAGCGAGGAGATTATGGAGTCGATTAATTAATTAATAAGAGTTGTAATCTCTCCACTTCTTTAAACTCTGCTGAATTTATCGCTGGAAAAATAAACAAAATAACATTGGACATTGAGCCACTTCCATCCTTGTAAAATTGATCTGAATATTGTGGCGGGTGGGGTGAAATTTTTGGAGTTTTTTTCCCTGATTTCCGGCTAATCCCTTTGATTAATCCTAAAAATCTATACGACAACATTTGTTAGGCTCAGGAAGTTGAATTGAATGACACCTTGAACGGGAAGATCGGACTAAGTTGAAAAATGAGTGTGTTTTACCCGTTTTATGCGACAACACGTTACAGATGTTCGGTATTTCGGATTTTTCCGTTGAGTTGAGATACTTTTTTTCCATCAGTTGAGTAGTACAACTTTTAAATGTGGCTCGCGGTAGAGTAGGTTGGGATGAGAATCGAAGTAACTGCCTAATCGGGATCTATAAACAAATTACTCAAGAATTCATAACTTTGGTTCTACTAAATATTTTGTTTTTATTTAAAGCTTATATTTTAAGTCAAGCAAACCTAAATTTAATGTAAAAATTTCAAAGTTCTACCATTAGCCATTGCCGAGCTTACCCCTGACAAACTTTCTTTGGACAATGCGGACATTTAGACAGACAAAATTTTTTTTAAAAAGTGCATTTGGTGTCTGCAATGTATGAAACTGAAAGATATCATAAAACGAGTTGATTATACTCAATTTACAGACAAAATCTTTATTTTATTTATATAGATACTAGCTTTTACTCTTCGCTCCCAATTCTTTTTCCCACCATTACAAATTAATTAACTCTCATACGAGTCTTAATTTCATGAAAAGGATCAGCAGCCGATTCAGGATTTAATTTTAGGACATCTTTTTTTTCTTTCTTTTATAAATGTAATCACTCTGTGAGAAAAAGAAACTCTATGAAAGTATACCTAAATAGTCTTTCAAGGCTTGCTAAAAAAATATATACAAAATGACAATAAACAAATATAGGTGTTGTTCAACTTAGCTCTGGAAAAGATAATAAAAGATATAAAAGAGAAAATAATAAGTGATATAAGCAATCTGCTAAGATGGAAAATAGCTGGGAGCAATAAAATAGGAAATCATTCTAATAAAGCATAAAGAAACAATTAAAGGAAGGAGATGGTCCGGGGTGGCGGTCATAAATAGGCTAAATAGTGGCAAAACTATTTTATTAAAAGCCAACGTTTCGACCCGACTTTGCAGGTCTTCTTCAGGGAGGTGTGTTCAGCTAGGAGTTTCACTTAAAACTCCTAGAATGAAAATCGTGGATATCAGATTAATATGTGTTGATGGATTACGGAATTTCCAAAAACGGCTTCTTCCGAAGATTTTATTCTCATACGAAAAAGTTTAGATCTTGTAATATAGATAATTTTTAGACAGTGAAAAAGATGAGGAATGTATGTCTTTTAGCTGTATATTATGTATAAGAATGACATACAGTTCGTCACTGAAAATCCTAAATTCAAGTGGTATTGATAATGAAAATGTCTGGTTCTTTTGGGGATCATACAGATCTACAGAACTTCGGTTACTTGTTTTTTAACTTAATTTTCGATAACTCCGATAAATTTTCAAAAAATAATATTAGTAATTAGTTATTAGTTAATCATAAAATTATAAATGGTTTCATGTTCGTACAAAAAACTAGAAACTCTTTTAAAATATATTTTAGTTTAATCTTTAGGAGCCAAAAAAAAAATTAAACCAAAATGTAGCTGCGAATAAAAGATTATGAAAAAATAAATAAAATATAAATGACCAAGATAGGCCGACAATAGGTTATAGCTATTCAGAAAATATATTTTAAATTAAAATAAATTTTAAAAAATATTCTAAATCACTATATATCTTGATTTCTTAGATTTAAAAAATCCTAATAAACCAATTTAGGCGATCTAGTGGCCATTAACCTCACTATTTAATGCTTTTGAAGACATCTTTATTGGAAAGAATGAATTAACCGGTAGGCCTGCCTTCGGAGATCAGGAATGCCGCGTTCATTCATCTCCTCTTTCAAGGACAACCGCTGCCGGATATGAATGAGAGTCGATAGTAAGATTTTTATTTAAATATCGATCATTATTTATCTTAACGGCTCCCAATGACTGACTCCTTACCACTGATGTCTCTGCTTATAGCTTCATCTTTTGTTGACTACTTCAAAGCGGGCAGGACCAGTTTAGAAGGTTTCGTCAGTCTTCATGTTGAGTTTAAACTAAATTTTAAATTGGGCCAGTTACTAAACTTATCGCTAATTCCATCAATTGAATCTAACACCGATGGACAGCGATTTTTTCTTGATTCCAGCGGAAATATAATACTCCTGGAAGGTTCGAAAAAACATGAAAAAAACTCTAAAAACATACCTATTTACTGAATAGTTAAATTTCAAAAGAGAAATAAATATGGATAGAAACTGAATATATATTTATATATTGTTATCTTCCTCTATGCAAATAATCAAGAGAACGTTGAAAAACTTGCTAAGACTCTGATAAGAGAAGAAGAGCAGATCGGCCTACAAGTAAACCAAGACAAAATAAAATATATGATAATAAGCCGAAAATTCCACCCCAATAACAGAATTTGTGTATAAGGAAAATCATTTCCGAGATTAGAAAAATACCTCAGCTCCACAATAGCCTCAATGAATGACTAATGGTCAGAAATAGACCAGCGTACAACTACAACTCCCTTTCAAAAGTATTTAAATCCCAAGAAAGTTCAAATTAAGAATGTACAATGCTATGAGATAAAGCTTGTTCTGATATATGGTTGTGAGACCTGGACATTAACCAGCATCCTAGAAAAAAGTGTTGAAAAGTTTGAGGGAAAAATCATCCGCATAATCGGAGCGATCTGGAATCAGAGTACTAACATATGGAGAAAACCAATAAAGAACTGCTTACAGAAACTGGTCAATCAATATCCAATGATCTAAAGGCAAGGAGGTTAAGACGGGGCGTGTAGCGATCTATCTGCAAGCCTATACGTATCAATGAATGCCTCAATAGAAGGCAAAAGACCACGATGAAAGCAAAAAAGCAAATGGATAGATAGAATCAACAAAGATGTAATAGAGCTGCGTGCAGATAACTGGAAATAAATAGTCCAAGAAAAAAACAGAGATGGAGCATACTGGTTAAGGTGGCAAAAGATCTACAAAATCTTTAATGCCAACAAAAATTATTATCACTCCCTGCCTTTCAGCAAGAAGGATTCTTTAAGAAAAAATGTCACAAGGAAACTGAATATGAGTATATAAAAACCGGACTTAGACGCTTCAAAAACACCACGCACACAGACAAAAACAAAACCACAAAATACAGGTTTTTTAATTAAATTAGCGAATAGTTTGATGAATTTTTGTTTCGTAAAATCCCAAACATTATCCACTTACTATTAGTGTGACATCTTTTGACCTATCCATGACAGGCATTGAAAATCTCGTAATTTCATTTTAGTAAACTTCAAATGTGAAATAACAGTTTAATAACTAATAGTCCTACAATCCATAATCATTTATAGATTAAATATTCCGACATACTTTCAAACCTCTCTAGACATATATGAGCCTTTCGGTTGACAGAATGACTAACTCCAATTTCAACATTCTATATTATTAATTTTAGTGATCTAGTAGAAAAATGTATACCTTTATTCACAGTTCTATATTTCAATACTGCAATCACCTACTCTGGAATCAACTTACTCACTGTCTGTATAGATATAACTTTTCCAACTAGAAATATCACTAAAATGACATTATTAAAAAATGTTGAAACTTGAGTTATTCATTCTGTCAACTGAAAGGTCCAGAGACTTAAGTTGTGTTTTTTATAAAAGCAGATGGACTGACTTGATTTTTATTGCCTACCGTCGATATAATAAATAGAGTTTCTATAATTTGAATGGTTTTAATGATTTGTTATCTGTAAGCTTTAAGCCTTAGCTCCGTTCAAAATAAACTTAAAAAAATTTATAATATTCCAACATTTCTAGAAAATAATTTTTATTCAAAGTAGAGCGGTAATTGAAAGCTGCGTGTTGCGCACACTAGATTTTTTTTTTATAAATATCTGGAATTATTAAAAATCGATTATTGCAGGTGTAGAAAAACTAATTAATTTCATTGATGCATCAACAGCGATCAAGTTTTCACAATTTAAACCAATCTTTTAATTGTTTTTATAAATGAATGAAAATTTATTCACAATTATTCAGGAGTGTTAGTATTATTAAGTTTATTTTATACAAGTACAATCGTACTTCTTTCTTAATATTTATTCAGACTGAAAAACTCTGCTTTTTCTCTTTCTTTTGATTTAGCACTGTTCCAAAGAGGTAGATATCGAATTAAATCGATTTCTTAGCCATATCGATCGAACTGATGGAACCTAAGAGGTAAGATATAGATGCGATATATTCTCATAGAAGGAAGAGATAGTGAGTGCGCAGAGGAAGTGGGCGGTGACGTCCACTGATTACAATGGAGCCCAGCGCGCGGCGCAGCGTGATCTATGCGGCGCAGAGTCTGTAATATTTATCGCGCCTCCTAAATATATCCAAGCTCTGAGGACGTTACAAAGGGCTTCCGAAACGTTCCACCTGATTCATAACTCCCCATCCGTTACACACTTTCAGTAGGACCGTATTTTCAATTTAGATTTTTTTTTATAAGCTCGATCTTTTTTTCTCTCGCTTTAGACCACTACACTTTTTGTTTTTCTTTTTAATTTAAAAAATATTTATTGTTATGAAAGCGTTATATTTAAAATGTTTCCCGGCAGAAAGCATATCCGGGAGATATTCAATTCAATATTTTTTGTCAGGTAAAGAAACAGAACATTTTGGTGTTCTAGAGATCTCCTGGGTCACAATCAGCTACTTTTGGATTGTCCTGAAAATAATGCAGGATTTTGAGTTTTTATTTTAAAATACCTTTCAATATAACAAAATGTTTACGTTTACTGGATTATTCATTTTTATGAATGTCAACATCTATTAACCCTCTTCCATAAGATAATGTTTGTTTACGTCTACGTCTGTAGCAATTAGCTTTTAGAAACAATTCAGTCTTTACTAAGATGTCAACGCGTGATTTTCGTATAATTTTGTTTTATAAGTTTAAACTTGTCGGAATGAGGCCCAAATGCCAAAAACATCAATCAAATCTGGGTCGGAGCAGCATTAATGAGTGCACTCTTTAACGGTTGTTCTAAAAATTATGGTTGGGAGATTTCAGCCTTGAAGACAAAGAAGTTCGTGGAAGGACTTCTTCTCTTGATGACGAAGTTCTGCGGGCTTTGATGGAAGAAAACCCTAGAATAACTGTTCTAGAACTTGCAAGAAAACTGACAGAAATCGGACATCGATGAGCACCTGAAGGCGATTGGAAACATAAAAGAGCTTGAAAGTCAAGTTCCACATTAGATCGTCCAAAAAAAATTTTTATAAAGTTTGTACTAGACTTCTTTGCCGAAACATAAACGACCCTTTTATGTCCAGAATTGTTACTTTTGATGAAAAGCGGATCAATGCCGAATCCTATTGTAACCAAATTAATACACTTCATCAGGAATTAGCAATAATGAAGCCATCTTTGGTCAACCATGCAACTAAATAGGTCCCTTCTATTTAGTTGCATGACAACGCCCGACCGCATGTGACGTCACAAAAAGTGTTGGAGCTTGGAAATGGAACTCTACCACATCCATCCTATTCCTCGGACCTCTCGCCTCCTGATTATCAATTTTTTTTAGCCACCTTAACCAATACTTACATGGCAAAAAATTTAATGGACAAAGGGATTTGAAAATGCCTTTTTGGAGTTTATCAATTCTAAAGATGGGAAATTCTATTCCGAGGAAATGGAAAAGTTGGTAGAAATGTATTGATACCAATGGAGACTATTTTGATTAAATAGAACAGTTGTAAATCTTTCGTTTTTCTTTTTAAACCAAAATCCTACATTATTTTCCGGAAAATCCAATAAAATATCGGTACTTGATCCATCATTCATCTCAGAGATTAACCTGGAGATTAAGTCATGACGTTCAACAAATTCAAATTTGTTTCCCACGTGTGGAGAATAAGGCAAGACTCTAAGAGATCCCAGCGCGTCTCTCTCAGCCGCATCAGTAGGATGGGAATCCAGTGGAGACTAAGAGAGGGCACTAAAGCCACATACGTCCATGACTTGTTTGGAGAAGCTGGCCAATGCCAGTACTCCAGTGATGTATTTACAAAAGATCTCGAGGCCACTGCCGTTTCAACCTTCGAGGAAGATTGTAGGGATGATTGGAAATGCATAAAGATTGTGCTAAGGGATTAAGATGATGGATTAGATTTTGATGAAAATTTGAAAATCAGGATGGAATAATGTCAAGGAATTTAAAGGGACATTTAAAGGGATTTTAAGGTCATGAAGTAAGGTTTTGTTCGTAACATAATAAGGAGCATTGACTATTGGACTGGAAGGATTGGATGCGTTTGATGTTCGAAAATTTAGTTGTCCCCTACAGTTCGAGTCCCTAGGTCTTGATGTTGATAGTTTGTTTTCAATTGAGAGGTTAGATTTTCTGTTAAGTAGTCTGTAGACTGGCCAAATCGTCGGTTAAGTGCTTGTCTTTTAAGTCTGTTATGTGGGTTCCATGTTAGTCTTTTGTCTAAAAGGAATCCAAGATACCGAACTGTGTCTGAGACGGGGAGAGGTACTGAGTTAAAAAGGATATGTGGACAAGATCTGCGTCGGAGTTTAAAGGTGACATGCTTGCATTTGGATTCATTCAAAATGTCTACGGAACCATATTTATTCACTATACCACGTAAATATTTTCACTATAACGTGAAGATTTCCTACACCAGAAGTCCGCCATAAGCTCCCAAACCAGGAAAATGAACATAAGAAAATAACACATTACTAGGATATTTATTTATTACAATAAATTATTGTGTTTAATGTAATATAAATTGAACTATTTATTTATTCTAAAATTTTTATCAATATCCAGGTGTATCATTTTGACTGTGAGCCACTATATATATATATATATATATATATATATATATATATATATATATATATATGAAAATTACAACAATAAATTAATTTTGATCGCCATAGAGGATGACATGTTCAAACCAGAGGCGAAGGAACCGAACAGTTGCGGCCCCCGCGGCGAAGAAGTAAAAGAGGATCCCGACAGCCGAGAGATTTATCGAGTGGTTCGCAACTGAGCCGTGAACTAGGAAATAAGAACCCGCCCCAAGGATAAAGGAGGACCTAGCTCCTGATTTGGTTTAGTAAAAAGGTCCTGCGCCAAAGGGTGGCATCTTTTATACCATCTAAAAAGAGGTCCTGGAAAAATAAATCGAATAAGGACCAACAGAGGCTATGGTAATATTATACTCCTTTATTTCAGCTGACAGGAGTGATTTAGAATAGAATAAAAAAAAATTAACTTTATTCTGGGACAAAGTCCCTTAAGAATAACAAGAATTTGCAGAAAAATAAACAATCATTTTGGCCTTAAGATCTATTACAATGCATGAATTTACAATAAATATTATAATATATTTTTTTAAGAATTGAATGGATGGGACGTCATGTTAATAAAATACCAATTTTTCTCGATCTAATGTCCCACAATTTTCCTTTATTTTGTAATCTTTATTTTATACGTACGTTTCGACCCTTGGCCATCATTAGCATATTTGGAAAATGCTCATTTATATATATTCTGCTTAGCTATATAATATTTTATATAATCTCTAATTATCTTTTAAGATATTATATATTCATATAATTTATAACGATTACCTGGTTATACCTTTTATCACAATATCTTTTTTCTTGAAAACAATTTTAACCTTGTTATATTTTCCATTTCGAATAGACAATGCTAATTTTATTTAAAAGATAACTTATATTTACATCACATTTAAAATTTAACAAAATACTTTTAAAAAACAAATAAATAAAATATTAATTGATTAAAAAACACTCAATTCACTTTAAACAAATGTTAACAATTCAAACCTGTTTTTTTTTAATCTATTACAGTATAAATTATAATATTATATTAAAACTTTATTTTCTCTAATTTATTAATTTCACTGTCTTATTCATAGTAACTAATTAAATGATCTATTTCTATTAATTAAACTATATTTTATTTTTTATATATATTATAAACTTAATGGAGGCGTGGGGAGAATTTTTATGAAATTTGCTAATATATTGACCATTTTTGCTTTCTTTACGTATAATACTATTTTAAAAGAATCTATTTTATAATCCAACAGTCATCTCTAATGATAAAAAATTATATATATATATATATATATATATATATATATATATATATATATATATGAGCATTTTTCAGAAATACTGATGAATGCCAAGAGCCGAAACGTACATATAAAATAAAAATTACAAAATGGAAAATTTTAGGACTGAAGATCGAGAAATTTGTATTTTTTTTTATTAATATAATAATATATTTGCTCCAAAAAAATGAGATAGCAATTAAATTAATTTTATAAGCAAAATATTTATATTTAAGCCCTGTCATCTTACATCAAACCGCTATATATAACCACTATCCGCCAAAACTTTTGAATGGGTCTATTAACTATATTTAAATGGTCTGTATTTTTTAAATGTCTACCTCTGAAGAACTTATAATTTTTTTTCACGTCAAATATTTATCCAAGATATCACCTCTTTCTGGATATTGTATATTTCCCTGATTCAGGAAAATAAATCTCTCATTCAGCTCCTTATCAGTCGTCTCCTGATGGGCATGTCAGTCGTTAATATGTCTGTTGTTATTTCCGTTTAGTATGAGATGAAATCGAGACTAGAGAGCACATATGTTTTATTTGATAGTTAGATGTCGTAAGTCAGCATGTAAAGTTTTTTTGTTTAAGTACCAGAAAACTACTGTTTTTAGTCTTTTGAATTTTGGATTAAACTGATTGCAGTTTTTGTAAGTGCGTCTTTTTTTCTGAACTGTAAATCTGAGACGCTTAAGTCCAGATACTTAAAATATTTATGTAGTAATTATGGTATTATGTGAAGGATATGTGTGATGCGCACACACAGCCAGATTTTATATATAATTATCATATACATATTACAATTACAATTGACTCAATTTAAATTCCCAATGGCATTTTAAGAGGTTGCTAACTACAGCAGCACAAAGTACATTTAAAAGCTACCGCATCGACCCTTCCAGAGCACACCGGACATAATCGAGAACAAGATAAGAGCCTTCAGAAGGACCTGAGGAACCATTAGCAGCCCATTAGAAGAAGAGGACAATGGTGATGATGGTTTGATGGCCGCAGGATCTCTTTCAGGACTCGGCCACTACACAGTCGGCTGTAAGGCCCGCTCTTTTTAACCTCTTTTCATATCGTCACTACATAATTTATCATTTTTAGTCATGAACTCAATATTTATATAAAATGTCATGGATGGAAAAATTTATTCCTATTTAAAAAAATTATGAAAATTTTGGTGATTTCGATAAAGAAGGTAATATGTTTGAACACGTTTAGACATCTAGGAAATTAAAGTTAAAACTAAAAAAAACATCTAAGTATCCGATAACAAGAAACAATGGAATTGAAATGGAGATTAAGGTTGGTCAAAGGCAGATAATGTTTGTAATTTTTCGGTACCGAAACTACTTAGCTCACGCCTCCTGTCTCGAAAATTAAAAATCTGATGCGGTACGCGCATCGCACAGCTTTCACTTACCACCCTCTTAACGGAAATAAGTATTTTCAGACAAAAAGGAAGTGGAAGTAAAAATTATAAACGCTTTATTGCTTTATATTTCATTGTGGATATTTTTATTTGTTTAAGTACCCTTATATATATAAATTTTAATATTTATATTGCTGTAATTTATACAATTTAATATTTAATTAAAGGTACTTTAGAGTAGCTAGTATTGAAAATTAGCCATTTAAGATCTGTTAGAGAATATCAATGAGAATAAAACATACATAATATTAAAAACTGCTTAATTAAAAACTTAATTTTACACTATAATGAATTTAATCAAAATCGTTGGAGCAGTTTTCGTGAAAATGGTAAAAATGTGTTTCATCGAAGATCTATAGTGCCACTTCCAATTAGCCGATTTTGACGAAAAAGTTTTTGTAACATCTCAGGTATATATAAACCTTAAATGTGCAATTTCACTTTCAGACGATATTTCTTTTTTGAGCTAGACCTGTCACATACATGCAGACACACGCACTCAGACTTAGACCATTTTCCGGGACTTGTAACGTGTATTTGCGTTGAAAAATCAGATTCAAAACTTTTCACGATCGCAATACTATCTCTTACTAT